TGTGTGTGTGTGTGTGTGTGTGTGTGTGTGTGTGAGAGAGAGATAATTCTTCTATTTACTATTTTCTAAAAAGCCACTAATGTCAGTCTCACCAGGATTGAAATTATTTCGTTTGCAGTGGCTTTTCTCAAAAACTGATGCATTTGTGTGTGTTCTGTGAAAACCTACCAATAGTTATTTAATTGTTGAGTATGCCCTGCTTACAATTAGCCATAAATATTTTAATGCATTAATATTCTGTAACGTCCCAGTAAGGACAACTGAATTTTTTTCTTTTTGTTTACGGACTTTAATTGAAGATTTCATTGCCAAGCACTAATCTGATCGTTGTGCGCATGCGCATCATACCAGGGCTTTGGGAGAGTCAACCACGTCTTCAGCGCCAGAGAATCTGAGTCATTTTAGCCAATCGGTTCGTTCGGACGGTTCGTTTTAATTAACTGATTCACAACCGAGTCATCACTCTAAAGCGTTCCAAAGTTTCCGCGTGGAATTTTACTTTCTTTTCTGTCATAAACGTGTTGTTTAACATTGATTGTTTATTATTAGGTTATATAGCGGCGTCAAATATTGTATTAAACTTTATTATTAATAACCTGACATCAATAATAATTAACAGCCAGTTGAAATAAAGCTATTTCTTAACTGTATTGCTGTCAGATATAATAATATTTTTCCAATCTCAGTTTTACCCTGACTAATACAAAATCGTACAGTCCGGTGTTCTCCAAACGCTTCGCGAATCGATTCGACCGAATCTTTTAAAGGATTCAGTTCATAAGAACGAGTCGCTCATGAATCGGGCTTCACAATCAGCGTCGTATAACGGGATCTGTGATCCGGCAGGGCGATGGCTCGGACCCTACACCGAACCCAAATAAAGCTGGACACGGAAAACCACTGTCCTGCATTGCACCGTGTTTAAGTACGTGACCGACAGCGAGCGCGGGGGCCGGTGTTCTGGTGACGTCAGAGGAGCGGCGGCCCTCATTGTCTGTAAAACAGCTCGTTTTCATCACATATATCTTCTGTGTTCTCCGTGGTCGTGTGTTACATTTAAATCTTTAATCTAAGATCAAATGCTGTTTGTGTCTTATCTAACAAGCTGGTCTGTGTATAAATCAGATGGGAGTCAGTCTGGTGTGACTGTAAGCATAAGCTGTGATCAGAGGATACGGGGCTTTATAACTGGATTCCTGCGCTCACAAACAACTAAAGTTTTGCATTGCTTGCTGTCAGAACTAGTATGCTGGTTGATATATGTTGACAGAGTTGTGGCTGGGGGCCAGATTGTGTCCGGACACCCCAGCCATCCCGCCGAGGGCCGTAGCTCTGCTGCTGGACCCAGAGGTCACAAGGGGCCCAGAAGTTTCTAGGGGCCCACAGCAATTTCTTAATCGTGCTTTAAAGAAGGTCCCAGAATTCCTAGCTCCGGCCGGGTTGTGGGCTGTCCATGCCGGTGTCCTGCTGCGGGACCGTCCATCACGGCTCCTCTCCGAGGAGAATCATCCACAAGAAGCCGGGAATCAGGACTTGTTTGAGTCAGCCGTGCTCTTCTGTCGGGCTGAGAATGCTGCGGACTGCTTTCAGTCTGGAGGGAGTCGAGGAGCGAGACGAGGAGCAGGAGGACGAAGGAGAAGATCTGAGGGATGGCGGGATCCCGTTCATTATTAATAGGGGGGGTCTGCCCATAAACGAGGAGACCTGGGAGCAGATGTGGCGGCACGTCGCCCGCATACACCCGGATGAAGAAGCAGTGGCCAGGAGGATACGGGGAACCGGCGACCTTCCCAAGGTACAGCTTTCACAACGAGAAATGTGCCAAAACACCCAGTGGATGTTCTTCAGGTGGGCCTTTCCCAAGTACACTTCCATAATGTACTTAAAGGGTTAGTTCACCCAAAAATGAAAATTAGCCCATAAATTACTCACCCTCAAGTCATCCTAGGTGTATATGACTTTCTTCTTTCAGACGAATCCAGTCGGAGTTATATTAAAAATAGTCTTTGATCTTTCAAGCTGTTTAATGCCACTCAGCAGGTGTTGCAGTGCTTCAGTCCAAAAGAAGTTAAATAAAAAGCACACATCCATAACAAAAGAGGTTTTCCTTTGCTAAAGTAAGGAAACTTTGCTTCCTTTGCTCCTGTAAACATACGTTGGTTTTCGCGAGACTCACCGGCGCATGCGTAACGCTGACCTCATACGTCAGCCTCCCGGAGCTGCTTCTGTGTACAACTGCTGGCGCAAGCTA